CAGTTCAGTACCCCATTTTTTAATTGGGTTAATAAGAGTTTTAATGTCTAGTTTCTTGAGTTCTTTATATATTTTGGAGATCAGATTTTTGTCTGATGCGGGGTTGGTAAAGATCTTCTCCCAATCAGTAGGTTGCCTTATTGTCTTACTAACAGTGTCCTTTGCTTTACAGAAGTTTCTCAGTTTCAGGAGGTCCCATTTATTCATTGTTGCTCTTATTGTCTGTGCTACTGTGGTTCTACGTAGGAAGTGGTCTCCTGTGCCCATGTGTTGTAGACTACTTCCCGCTTTCTCTTCTATCAGGTTCAGTGTTGTCAGATTAATATTAAGGTCTTTAATCCATTTGGACTTGAGTTTTGTGCATGGTGATAAATATGGATCTACTTTCATTCTTCTACAGGTTGACATCCAGTCATGCCAGTACCATTTGTTAAAGATTCTTTCTTTCTTCTATTGTATAATTTTAGCTCCTTTGTTGAAAATCAGGTGTTCATAGGTTTGTGGATTAGTATCTGGATCTTTGATTCAATTCCCTTGGTCAACATCTCTGTTTTTCTGCCAATACTAAGCCATTTTCATTACTGTAACTCTGTAATAGAGTTTAAAGTCAGGGATGGTAATGCTTTCAGAAGTACTTTAATTGTATAGGATTGTTTTGGCTATCCTGGGCTTTTTGTTTTGCCATATAAAGTTGATTATTGGTCTCTCAAGGTCTGTGAAGAATTTTGTTGGAATTTTGACGGGGATTGCATTGAATCTATAGATTGCTTTTGGTAGAATTGCCATTTTTACTTGTTGATCCTCCCAATCCAAGAGCTTGGGAGATCCTTCCATTTTAATTTCTTTCTTCAAAGACTTAAAGTTCTTGTCAAATAGATCTTTCACTTCCTTTGTTAGAGTTACCCCAAGATACTTTATGCTATCTGTGGCTATCGTGAAGGGTGATGTTTCTCTGATTTCCCTCTCTGTTTCTTTGTTCTTTGTGTATAAGAGGGCAACTGATTTTTTGGAGTTGATCCTGCCACATTACTAAAGGTGTTTATCAGCTGTAGGAGATCTTTGGTAGAGCTTTTGGGGTTGCTTATGTACACTATCATATCATCTTCAAATAACAAAAGTTTGACTTTTTCCTTTCCAATTAGAATCCCTTTAATCTCCTTATATTGTCTTATTGCTATTGCTAGAACTTAAAGCACTATACTGAAGAAGTATGGAGAGAGTGGACAGCCTTGTCTTGTTTCTGATTTTAGTGGGAAGGCTTTGAGTTTCTCTCTATTTAATTTAATGTTAGCTATCGGCTTGCTATATATCTCTTTTATTATATTTAGGAATAAACCTTGTATCCCTAATCTCTTCAAGACCTTTATCATAAAGGAGTGTTGAATTTTATCAAATGCTTTTTCAGCATCTAATTAAATGATCATATGTTTTTTTTCCTTCAGTTTATTTATATGATGGATTACATTGATAGGTTTTATTGTTCTTTAAAAATAATATGATGTTGGGATGCCCCGAGCGGCCTAGGAGCCAGGCAGAGGCTGCCACCAGAGCAGTGCAGGTTCCCCGGGCAAGCGGCAGAGTCAGGCGGCTTGATGAGGTGGACGGCAGAGTTAATGGACATAAGGCTATACATAAAGGTAAACATTTATTACTTAAAGAAAGGGAGACATAAAGACATGGAGACAAACATAGAGAAAGACAGAAAACACGTGTGCACACGGCAAGAGACGGACAGAAAAAGGGGAAAGCCAAGATGGAGACGAGGTCAGAAGTGGCTGGAAGTGGGCGTGGTTAGCCCTTAAAGGGACCATAGAAAAGGAATAACAGGTTTTCATATGTTGAACCAGCTCTGCCTCTCTGGGACTAAGCCTACTTGATCATAATGTTTAATTTTTTGGATGCGTTTTTGGATTCAGTTTGCCAGTATTTTATTGAGAATTTGTGCATCAATGTTTATGAGTGAGATTGGTCTGTAATTCTCTTTCTTGGTTAAGTCTTTGTGTGGTTTTGTTATCAGGGTGACTGTAGGTTCATAAAAGGAGTTTGGCAATGACTCTTCTGTTTCTATTTTGTGAAACACATTAAGGAAGTTCTGGTAGAATTCAGCCTTGAAATCATCTGGTCCTGAGCTTTTTTTGGGAGGGAGCTTTTTGATGACAGCTTCTAATTCCTTGCAACTTACAGGTCTGTTTAAGCTGCTCACCTGGTCTTGGTTTAATTTTGGTATATGGTACTTATCTGAAAATGTGTCCATTCCTTTCACATTTTCCAATTTTGTGGCATACAGGCTTTTGTAGTAAGATCTAATGATTCTCTGAATTTCCTCTGTGTCTGTGGTTATGTCCCCCTTTTCATTTCTGATCTTGTTAATTGCGTGTTCTCTCTCTAATGTTTGATTAGTTTGGATAGGGGTTTGTCAATCTTGTTGTTTTTGTCCAGGAACCAGCTTTTTGTTTCATCGATTCTCTGGATTGTTTTCTGTGTTTCTATTTTGTTGATTTTAGCCCTCAGTATGATTATTTCCAGTCTTGTACTCCCCCTGGGTGAATCTTCTTCTTTTTTTTCTATAGCTTTCAAGTGTGCTGTTAAGTCTCTAATGTGTGTTATCTCATTTTTTTTTAATGTGGAGACTTAGTGTTATGAACTTCCCTCTTAGCCCTGTTTTCATAGTGCCCCATAGGTTTGGGTATGATGTGTCTTTATTTTCACTGAATTCAAGGAAGACTTTAATTCCTTTCTTTATTTCTTCCTTCACCCAGGGGTGGTTCAGTAGTTGACTGTTCAGCTTCCATGAGTTTTTAGGCTTTCTGGGGTTGAAATTGTTGTTGAATTTTAACTTTATTCCATGGTGATTCGATAGTACACAGGTGATTACTACAATTTCTTTATATCGATGGATGGTTGCTTTATTACCAATTATGTGATCAATTTTTGAGAAGGTTCCATGAGATGCTGAGAAGAAGGTATATTCTTTTCTGTTTGGGTGGAATGTTCAATAGATGTCTGTTAAAAGTCCATTTGGTTCATTACATCTGTTAGTTCTCCTATTTCTCTGTTAAGTTTCTGTCTGGTTGACCTGTCCATTGGTGAGAGAGGAGTGTTGAATTCACCCGCTATTATCATGTGGCATTTGATATATGCTTTGAGTTCTAGTAATGTTTTTTTTTTTTACATATGTGGGTGCTTTTATATTAGGGCCCTAGATATTCAGGATTGAGACTTCCTCCTGATAAATTGTTCCTGTTATGAGTATAAAGTGTCCATCTCCATCTCTTCTGATTGCTTTTAGTTTGAAATCAATTTTGTTAGATATTAGTATAGCCACATCCGCTTGTTTCTATGGTCCATTTGATTGGAAAACCTTTTCCCAACTTTTTACTCTGTATTTATTATTTTTATATTTAGTCTTCTGTAATATCCCAGATTTCTTGGATGCTTTGTGTCAGGAATTTCCTTTAGATTAAAAACTTATTTGCCAGTTTCAATTTCTTCATCTTATCATCAGTTCCTGAGATTTTTTACTTCCCTCTCTTGTTCTATGCTGCTGAAACTTGTCTGTAATATGTTTGCATTCCTAATCTTTTATTTTCCAGAATTCCTTCAGATTTTATTTTTGTTGTTGCTTTTATTTCCTTTTTCAGGTCTTAAACAGTTTTATCCATTTTCTTCAAATGTGTTTCCTTTTTGTTGGCTTTATGTAAAGACTTTATTCAATTCCTCCAATTATTTATGTTTTTTTGCCATTCCATAAGGGATTTATTCATTTCTTCAATAAGGTACTCTGTCATCGTCACAGAGGTGGTTTTAATCTCTTTTTCTTGTGCTTCATCTATGTTGGAATATTTAAGACTTGCTTTGCTAGTATAGCTGTGTTCTAGTGGAAACATATTGAGATGACTGTTATTATGTTCTTACACTTGCTTCTAGGCATCTGGATTTGGAATGATAATAGGTCTTTGTGTTGATTTCTTGGTTCATTTTAATTGGGTGAATGTTATGTTCTTTGTTTTCTTTGTTTTCTCTCAGAGTTTTTCTAAAATGTGATGGTTGTGTGTTACCTGATTTAGTGGTCTGGTGATGTGGGGTTCCCCTTTGTATGCGGAGAATACCATTGGTTAATAAAGTAGCTGTTTGGGGCCTGTGATAGGGCAGAAAAGAGCTAGGCTGCGGCGGGGGGGGGGGTGATAACACTAAACTAAATGCTGGGAGAAAGAAGGTGGAGTTAGAGAGGCCTTGTCGCCTCACCAGAGAGACCTTTGCCAAAAGGAACTTTGCCAGTAAGCCATAGCCATATGGCAATACACAGAATAATAGCAATGGATTAAATTACAATGTAAGAGCTGACCAATAAGAAGCTAGAACTAATAGGCCAAGCAGTGATTTAATTAATACAGTTTCTGTGTGGTTATTGTGGGGCTGATCAGCTAGGAAAAAACAAGCAGACTCTTAAAACAGTCTGGTCTGCTGCTGTGTTCACAGGAAATGCCTGCTGGTTTTGGTAACTGGGATGCAGAAAAGAGTGTGGGGGAGAGAAGTTTAGAGGATATACAGGAGATGTGGACAGAGAAATGGGAGGCTTTATATTTTTGCTGTCACATCTTTCACATGGAACTCTGAGGCTTAGGAGTGGATTGACCTATACATGTTGCCTTACGGCTGAGTATTCATCAATAATATGTATGCACCCACACCAGAGCCAGATAGGAAAACACCCTGTAATTCACAACCTACTTTAATTAGAAGCCTTCAAGTTGAGGGATGGAAGGTATAATGATATGTAGGTACAATGATAAATTAAGACCATTTATATCATTGTCCTCTTAGCAGCATTATAGCAATACATTCTATCCTAATGTCCCTGATTAGTCTATCCTTAGGTTCTTAGTCTAATAATGGTACCAGGCGTGTGGTTCATCCTCTGGAGAAGGATTTAGATACAGTAAGGAAAAAGTTGCTTAATCCGACAATATTTGTGGTTCTGTTGCACAAGCAGGAAGATCTTGTCAGATCAGTCTTTATTGTAGCCTGAGGTGTTTGTAGTTGAGGAAGACTGATGATGACTTTTCTCCTCCAGCAGATTTCGTATCCCCATCCAGCACTATGAGAGCAAGAAAGTAGAAATAAATCTGTCATATTTTACCACTTGGGTTTTGCCATGATTCAACAATTAGGGTCTTACTATCAAGTTCTTGAAGGTACCCAATACAATGCAATGTTTGAGGGATCTTTGAGACCTAATTAGTAAGAACTACAACAGAAGAAACTCATACAGAGCCTTTATGAGCTACATTCTGTTATTCAGTAGGTGCATTATTGCTCTGTTTCAGAGTAAATCCATTTTAATTCTATCTCTCGTCCCTTCCTATTTCACTTTATATGTGCATGTTTATGTTTCTCTGTGTGTAACTGGTATGTTAACAAGTCTGAGGAAGGAGATTTAGAGAGAACAGTTTGTGGGATCCACAGAAGATGTGGGCAGGGGGAAGGAGGGCTTCAGCTTGTTATCTGATACAACACTAGGGACAGACCTCAGAGGATTGGGTCTAGGGAAACAGAGTCTACCTCTAACATTCATGCTCTTTCTGCTATATCTATCACATTGGTCCCTGAGACTTAGGAGGCGATTGAGCCGTATATGTTGTTTACTGAACATTCCCCAGTCAATGCATCTTGCCCAGTTATGTACAACCATGTTAACCACAATTGGCTTCAATTGGAGGCATCAAAGTGGAGATATGAAAGATCCATTGATCTTTGTATCTGACGGTAAATTTTTTTTTATGTCATATTAATTCACTGTCCATTGCAACCTAATAGCAATACATTCTTCCCTATGGCTCATGACCTATCCTTAGGTTATTAATCTAATAATTGTGTCAAGCATGTGTTTCATCCTGTGGAGAGGGACTTAGACACAGTCAGGTAGTGTTTGCTTACTCCCATAATATTTGTGCTACTACTGCACTAGGTCTGTCATTACTGTAGGCAGAAAGGTTTGTAGCTGAGTATGGCTGATGATTGCTTGTTTCTTCAAGAAGGTTGCATAGCACCTTTCAGTACTATGAAAGCAAGTCAGTACGGATAAAACTTCTGCTTCTTTATCACTTTGATTTTTTCAATGCTAAATGACTCAAGCATATGGTATCTTTAGCAGTAGGGTTTCATTGTCAAATTCTTGAGAATAGCCAAGAGCAGCAGCAGTACCATATAATGCTTTAGTGTTATGTTGGACCTAATTGGCAAGAACTCCAAAAGAAGTTAACTTACACATACCACAGAGTTTTTATTTGTTACCTTTGGTGTCTATTAGGGCCATTGTTCCTCTGTTTAAAAATAACTCCTTTTTAATTCTGCTTCTCTCTTTCCATACTCTCTAGTTTTATTTCCATGTATGTGTTTGTATCTCTCTGTGTATGCGTGTATGTTACTGATATGAAAGTAAATTTACATGTCTTTTTTAGAAGATCTTTTACTTTTTATTTCTTTCTTTCACTTCTCCCTCTGATAGCCTACCTCCACTGCTTCATCCCAGTTTAAACCCACTTGGTCCAGTTTTCCTTTGCTAGCTGTGCATTCTGTCTCTGCTCTATTCATAGCCATTCCCATGGCACTGTATTAATTTCATAAACATTATGAGTCTCACAATTGAAGCACATGTATGAAGATTTAACACCAACAATTACAGGGACAGAAAATGTGTGATGTTTATCTTCCTTCTTCTGGGTTAAATTTGTAAAAAAGAACTATTTCCAACCCCATCGGCTTAGTTGAAATTTACATAGTTTTATTCTTTTCCTCAGTATCTTAATAGCATTACCCTGCATAAGTATAACAATTTTTATTATTCATTAATCAGTTGATGCAAATCTAGGGTGCTTCAAATTCTGGCTATTGTAAATATGATCACAATAAACATGGGTTAGCAGATGTCTCTAGACAAGGCTATGGAGATATGAACTCCCATCCATATATGGAAGTGGTACTGCTGGGTCATTCGATATATCCAGAGTTACCTTTTGAGTAACCTCTGAACTGGTTTACAAAATGGTTGTACCCATTTTCATTTCCTCAAATATTAAAATGAAGTTCCCTTTTCTGAATATCAATGAAAACATGTGTCATTTTTTGTTGTGTTTTGTTTTCTAATCCTTAGCAGTTTAACTGCGGTGAGATGAAATTAGACAGAAGCTGTAATTTGCATTTCTTCAATAGTTAAGTATGTGTGCCAACCATTTTTATTTTATTTTTTGATAATTAACTACTTAGTTCTGTGTCCCATGATTGATATTTAAAATATAAACACATAACAATGCTCTTCTTTCTCTTTCCTATCACTTCATTTACACTTACTTACTCTGTCTTAAATTGGTTATCTTTATTTTTTGTTAACATTATTGCATATATACATATATATTTATATATGCCCATAAATATTTAAATATAATCTGCTGAGTTGATATGGTATTTAATATATAAATATTATTCCAGGGCAGACCACTTCATTTTGGATATCCAATTAGGAGGCCCACACCTGGGAAGGAATAACACTCCCTCGCTCAACAGTTAATAGTTTCATGTAGTACTTTGTCTAGGGATAGATTCTCATTAGACCCCTCCCCTAACTTACGTTAGTGTGTGTGCTGGCCATGTTTTCTCCTTCACTTGAAAACTGACACAACTTGCAGGGCTCAGGGTCTCTCTACCCTGTCAGCTGTTAATTTGGGTTCCCAGCTCTTGTATGATAATTTCCTTTGAGGGCCAGGTCTCCTCTTCCAGGACTTTGTGGTTACAGTTGATGACTATCCTACTGTCTCCAATAATCTTGATTATAGAACAGCTCTCCAGTTTAGCTGAAAACCACTCCCCATTATTTCTATTTCCTCAAGGCTGAGGTCACCATAGGATTATCAGGGTCTCTGAATCAGGCTAAAATAATGTCTAGAAGGGCATTTCCTGGGAGGAGGGATTGTGTCTGTGAGCATGTTGTGTGGTTATATTCATGAGGGACTTGCCTGGGGTGAAGCTGAAGTTTGCTGTGCTTGAGGAGATGAGTGGAGGAATTTTTGCTTGTATTTCCCCAGGGAGAAGGTGTGCCTAATAAGAAATTGACAGGCTTTACTGAGCAACGCAGGAAGGCATGGTTGCACAAGATCACAGGTCCTGCTCACCAACTCAGCTCTTATCTTGTCTGTCTGTGAATACCGGTGGAGCGGAAGGACATTTTTCAGAGCATACTCCTCTCTCATACTTACATTCATGGAACTAGTCCCTGGAGGTCCCTGGCAGTGAGTCTTCCTGAGCAAGGAATCAACCAAGTCTGATGATGAAACCCATAGGTGGAAGTCATACTCCTGCTGCTGTAGCTGTCAGGAGTTGGGAGATGCCTGGAAGGACCCAGGAACAACTGGCCATAGAGTTAGAGGTGACCTCTGATGCAGGGAAAGTGAGGAAGGTGGATACCTGCCTTTTTAAAGGAACTTGTCACCATTAGATTGCCTTCTTATTCCTTAATCTGTAAGTCACTTTCTAGATCCTTCTTTGAGCCCAACTACCTTCTAAATTCTTTCTGGTTCCCAGCTGCTTTACAAAGCATTCCATAGGACCACTACTGCCTTGTGAGCCATTAGGAATTGCTGGAGTCAGGCATAAAAGATTGCTGAGCCATTAAAGACTAGGTTCACATTCAAAAATTTAAGAAGTTGCTAAAGTGTTGAATTTTCCTTGGGCAGTCTGGCAAAACCTCATAGGTGATCTCCTCAGTAAAACTGGAAATGTTATGAGGAAGACACACTTATAACTGTTGTTCTGAGGTATATGCTATTTTGTATTTAAAAAACTAATTGTATTGTCTATCATTACAATTATGGAAGTTATGTTATATATTTTATATTATAAAATTTTCATGTTTCTAAGGAAAGGGTTTGGGTCGCTTAGTAAGGACTATAGTAATTGCAGATAGAATGGCAAAGACCCACTAAACAACTGGCAACAAGTGCTAGAGATGAAGTGGTGGTAAAGAAAAAAATTGTGAGAGACAAGGTAGTTATGCATTGCTAGTATAACCAATGTTATACTTTATTATCCTGTTGGTCATTGCACAAGGTTTGTACCTAACTGTAGTCCTAAGCCTGTTTCCCTAAAGCAAATCATCTGTACAATGTATTTTAGCTGACGTCAGGTCCAATCTAGAAGAGAATTCTCTGGAGGGTCAGGATCCTGTGGAGACACTCTGATCACAATGCAGATCAAGGTCACATATCTTCAAATGCACAGAGTTGAGCATTACTCTTGGTCTCTGCTTTTACACTGTCCATTGGGCATCATGGGGTTTTAGGACTGTCTGGTTATCTTGAGTGATTGCTGTCACTGAATTCTAGTTATTAGGTGCAGTTGTGGATGTAGTGAAGTTCCTGACTAAGTCATTTTGCATGTGTAAAAGACATTCTTTTTATTTACTATGCTCATTACAATAATGTTTCAGATTCACATATGCTTGGCCATGAATAATAAATAATACACCAGGATTCCTTGAAATTAATAATGGAAAGACTTTTTCTTGGGTGAATGAAAGAAGGGGAAAATAAAAATTTTACCCTTCACAAGCTACTAGAAGCACAGTTATTAAAACAGATATCTCAAAAATGTATTAAAGAAATGCTTCACTTCCTCTGTGTGAAAGAGAAGATTCAGACCAGGGACATTTACAGAAACAGGTCTGAGCCAGCAACCTAGGCTAAAGCAGGCCTGAGACAGCAAACTCCAAGGGAGTGGAGCAAAGCCTGGGAGTGTTGAATGACCTCAAAGAACACAGGATGACCAATCGGGTAACTAGAACCATGGCACTGACGGTACTACAAGGAAAAACTATCTGAGCACCTAGAAGATTAATCACTAGAGTCACAGGCAGCCCCAACCACACCAATTAGAGGAAAAAATGACTAGACAAAGAACACATACAACACCACAAAGAGCAACATGACACCAGTAAAATCTAGAGACCCTACAACAGCAAGACTTGAACAACCAAATATAGATGAAGCAGAAGAAAATGACCTAAAAAATAACTTCAGGAGAATGTTTAAGACTCTTAGAGAGGAA